CCTGCACCATTCACACACATGCACTGTCCATACACCTGCACCATTCACACACTGCACTGTCCATACACCTGCACTCTCCAGTATTAGCCAGGTGTGGCTACTGAGTGCTTGTAATAGGGAATATCCAAGTTTCAGCACTTGAAATATGCTAAAAAATGTAAAAGCCAAACCAAATTTTGAAGATGTAATACTTACTCTGAATGTAAAATACCTCATTACTAATTTTTATATTAATTACATGTTAGCATATGTAATTAATTTAGTAATATACATATATTCACTTCAACAAAATATTTTATTAAAATAAATGTCATCTGTTTCTTTTTACTTCTTAACTGTCATTTAAAATTACATATGTGGCTTGCATCACATTTATATTACACTACTCTACACACTGAAATGCACCTATACATTTCAGTCAGTATGTAGCCCTGAAGAATCCATACCACAAAACAAGAAGACGTCTCTGTGACCAAACAGGCACAGTTATACTTTTTGAATTATCTTGCATGAACAAAATTAATCTATTCATCATTCACTTAGCAATGTTCTAGATTAAGTAATTAATTGATTAACCATTATTGAGAATCTACTATGTGCCATACACTGTGTTGGAGAATGGGACAACTGTGAACAAATCAGACCCAGCCCCTGCCTTTGTGTAAAGTCAAGTAGTTAAGAGAGCACACTTGGGAGCCTGACAACTTGGGTCCAAATTCTGACTCCATCCCTTACCAGCCATGTGATCTGGAACAAGTTAAAACAGCCTAGTTTTCTTATATGTAAAACAGGAATTTTATCTGGCTAAGATGCTGCAAGAAATAAATTAGTAAAAGGCAAATAGAGGCGAACTATGTTAGTCACCTAGTGCTGTATAACTGAGCAGCTTGCATCACACTGCAAGTTATACAAACAAGTTGTAAAAGCAATATGTAAGTTATAAAACAACATGCATTTATTATCCCACTGATTCTTTGGATTAGGGATCAAGGCAGAGCTTCCCTAGGTCCTCTGCTTTAGGCTCTCTCACAAGGCTGCAATCAAGATGTTAGCCAGGGCTGGGGCCTCATCTGAAGGCTTAACTGAGGAAGGATTGACTTCCAGGTTCACTAAATGATGATTGTCAGGATTCCTGTCTTTTGGGTTATTGAACTGAAGTCTTCAGTTTCTAACTGGCTGTTCCTTGCTTGGGCATCTCCAACCTGGCACTTGGCTTAATCAAAGCCAACAACAGAGAAAGTCTCCCTGCCTTCATGGAGCTTACATTTGAGCTGGCTGTATGGCAGAGGGTAGCGGGAGGTTGGTGGAAGAGAGACAGGCACTAGCAATGGAAACAAATAATTGCTTAATCTAAATTCCATTAAGGTTACATCCCCAAATTACAGAGTGTTCATTCTAAAATGCCAATCTCATCATGGCCCTCTTTTTTTTTTTTTTACTAACTATGCTCTAATTGGTAGACTCATTGCTTTAAAGATAAAGACGGAATTTCTTAATATCCACTATAACCTACTGTTCCATGCTGTGTTTCCAGTGCATCTACCATAGCAGTAGTTGAATGCTTACATAGAGTAGCTACTCTGAAAATGATTTTTTAAATGTCTTCGATTTTCCATTTTTTTGCCTTTTATTTTTCCACTTGTGTTCATATCTTTACATTAAATGATATTTTATTGAAAGGAGCATCTTAGTGATATTCCAGTAAAACTGGAATTAATAGTCTTGAACTCTTGAAGATGATAGTATTGGTACCAACATCTTCTTGAAGGCCTTGTCCATCATTATATCATCATTATCATAAATACCGATGTAAAGCTGACTTTTGTTACCATAAAAACAGGATTAAAGCCTGAGGCAGAAAGATCAGTTGAGACCAGGAATTAATTTGATTCCAGCTTGGGCAACATAATGAGACCCTGTCTCTACCAGAAAAAAAGATGAAATGTTCTGGCCCTTTACCCGAGTCAAGAACATGGGAATAAGTAGAATTGCTTAGAAGCGAACCATAATATAAGCTTCTTTAATTTGCTTCTGGTAGATTCTGTGCTGGAGATGTATGGGTGGAAGCAAAGAATTTTTTTAAAAAAATCAAAATAATTCTTCCTATTAATAAGTTGGTGGGAATTCCAACAGAAGTAGTCACTAGACAGATGCTATCCAGTGAGTTGAGAGTCTCAGGAGAACTGGAGGCTGGTACATGTAGAATCAAAGAGCCTTAGAGCTGGAAAGACATCACAGATGATGCAGTGCAAGCCCCCGGCCACAGAGTCTTTTTAATGTCACACCAATCCTGCAGCTTCTTTTACTTCCTCACTTCTAATTATAGAGAACTGGCTCTTTTACAGGGCTGCCATTTTCATCATTAGAACCCAACTGTTATTTGCACTCTTATTTATTTTAAGGTATTTCCCAGGAATTGCTGCACATTAAAATTTTTAACATTTTAGGCGACAGAAATTTTCATTGAATCCTCTTGCTGTGCAACAGCCCCCACACACTTGCTCTCAGGAGTCTCACCCATCTTAGAAGTCCTTTCTGTCATACTTCTCTTCAGATGTCTCCAACATGCACCGCCTCTGAAATTTTTTTGTTCCAGCCATCTTCAGGAGGATGAAGAGTAAGTTCTCAGAGTGCCAAGATGGCAAAGCGATGCCTAACACATCGTCTGACCAATGAAGAATAATTAGAACATTATTCCATGATCTATTTTTCTATTATTGTAGCTTAATATCATGCTAACTTTGTAAGCAACCATTTCACACTCTTGGGTGCCCATTGAAAGTTTGTAGTCAGTTATAATCTTTGAATTTTTGTTTCACATAAAGTGTTGCCAAAGCAGATATTTCCCAACCTGCGTCTGTGCTAGAGTGTGTGTTAACCTCAGACCTCTCTGTGATTACTGGAAAATCGCTGGATGTAAACCTTACTTTATTAAACTATAAAACGACCCTAATAATGTTAGAACCACATGTGAAGTGCTTTAGGAAGTACCATGTCTGGTAGACATGTGCTTCTCCTGTAAAGAACAGGCTATTTATGACCACTGTCTTCTCAAAAGACCGTAGGTGACCAGGCTAATTACCTTTCTAAAAGCTAATTTTTAATTCACAGCCTTCCCTTCTTTTTACTCTACTGGAATCCCTGCTTCCAACAGTTAAACACCCGTCGAGTTAATTTTCTTTCCTCTCCACAGGTTGACTGAGCTCTTGACTTTCTTTTTTCTTTTTTGGAACAGCTGGTCAGGTCAAGAAACCCAACCCCTCTCCACCAACCGGAGCCCCGCCCCCTGCCCCCGCTGGCCGGGGAGTGGAAGGCCAAAGACGGAGAGGAGGGCGCTCGCTGCTGCTCCCCGCCAAAGCGCAGGCTCGGCCTGCCTTGTCCAGTGGGACGGCAAAGGGTCACTCTAAAACTTGCTGCAGCCGGGTCTTGTTAGGTGGCTGCTGGTGGCTCCCCACCGGATTTTCCTTCTCCCTCTCTCTGTCTTCACAGATCCGTTCCCAAAAGGAGTCTCCTGCTAAAACTTCATCATCTCAAGTTGAGCTGCCACTTCACCCAGGAGGGTAAGGAGCTGGGACCATTAGTCGCCAATTCCTGCCTTCTAGATCCTGGGGTGTGTGTGGATGTGCGGGTGGGAGAGGGTGGGCTGAGTGTTTGCGGTTGTAGAGCTATTTTACTGACGTGAGTCTACAGCTGGGTCAGGTGGTTCGTGTCCCTAATCTGAAGTTGGGAGGCAAAAAACATTTTTTTGAAATCTGAGAAATATAATGTGTTAGGAGAATGTCACAATAACAGAAATGCATGAGAGTGATGCCCTACAAACGTAAAACCACCTGTAATTTCTAACAAAAATTCTCAGTCTCTAAAGCTTAAGATATATTTTTCTTTCACTACTTTATAGAGAAGGAGAGAAAATTCTTAGGCTTTGTTCACAAAGTTTAGAATTCTACCTTTATTTTTATCAAAAATCTTTTAAATATTTGGTACTGATCAGTTTGGATAAAATGTTACCATTTTATCTAAATTCGAGGCACAAAAATCAGGCATCTCTGAATTCCCAGAAATATAACCTACTGACAAAATAGAAATATCCTTCCTGCAAAAAAACTCAAATTTGTTATTTGGCTAAAAAATAGATTTTTGTCTTAAATGTGCACATATCATTATGCTGACATACATTTTATATTAAAAATCATGTTGGAAGTACATGGTAAAGTGGAAACCTCCCCCCGCCCCCAAAGTTGGACTTAAAATGGCAAGTGACAGAAGCCAGGAGGGTTTCTATTCCTGGAGGTTAGGGCTGATGAGCGCCGACAGATGCAGTGATAGGAATGTGTCCAGGACAGCGAGCAGGAGCAGCTGATTCACCCCTTTGGCAAAAAGACATTCTGGGAACCCAGTTCATACTGGCATGAGAGTGACAGTGACACTTTAGCACACATGGCTTTTCAGCTTGCCCTGTTGTAGACTTTCTCCCAGGAAGCATGGGTGCAGGGCAATGGGAAGGAAAGTGACCTTAAATGTGAAGTAATAACTTTTCTGTAACCAGTTTTGAGAGCCTTCATCTGGGATCTGTTTGGGGCCAGGAAGAATTTAAGTGCAATACTTCCACATGGACTTGCCGACTTAACTGACAGGGGTCCAATTATGTACCTTTGCTTAGAGGCATTATTCTCATTCTCCGGTGGTTCTGGATCTATTTTGGGTATGGACCTCATGAAAACGCTGAGCCCACTGTGTGGAAAGTACACATAAACACATGCACGCAATATGTTTCAGACTATTCCACAGGACTCATGGACTCACCTAATACCTAACCCAGATCAGGAATGTCAGGTACAAGTCAGGTCACCCAGCTACGTTTGAATTTCAGGTAAGCCACAAATCATCTTTTAGTATAAGTATATCCCCAACACTGCCTGGGACATACTTATACTAAAATATGATTCATAGTGTATCTGAAATTCAAATGTAACTTGACATCTTGTATTTTTATTTGCTAAATCTAGCAGTTCAGACCCAGATACATAGATGCCATGTGAAGAAACCCTGTCTCTGTTCATCCCTATCTGATAATGAGTAGATTCTAGAGATATGGAAGGTCATATTAAAGGGAGAATTGGTGTAGAAACAGATTTTGACAATTCTGACAGCAAAAGTAAGCTGTATGTTCATAATTCTCTGCAGTATTATACAAGAAAAAGTAATGGTTCTCCTTGTTTGACAAATGATTAAGCTGAAATCCTAAAAGGTTGGATGTTCTGCCACAGGTCTAACAAGTGGTTAGAGCAGAATGAATACCAAAACCCAATTTTCAGTTCTGTGATGATCAAAAAGGCATCAGACTTAAAACTCAATTTGTAACCCCCTCTCCTTCCAACACACAAAATACTAGGAAAAACAAAGAGCCATTTTACTAAAGCTTTCAACAAAACACAAACAAAAACTTTTGTACTGTGTCTTTGTGTCCTATATCCAGCCACAGAGAACAGAATTATAGTTAACTTTGTGCATAGAGTCTGTATACTTTATAGGTAAAAGCTAGGCACAGCCTATAGCTAAGTTGAACCACATGAAATTCAAAACATTTGCTTTTAATTTCATATTCAATCTAATACTTCTAAAAGAAGTGCTTTATTATCTGATCAACAAATTTATGCAAGCCCTCCTTGACCCCATTTATTTGGCTTCCCTAACCTATTGGATTTTCACATTCTTACTACCCTTAATAGAATAAAGAAATCCACAGGATCGATGTGTCCCCAAACAAATTTATTTTACTTTCAAAAAGGTAACTCTTTTATTCCAATATTTGGAACCAGAAAGAATCATTTCATGTTCTCTATATAAAAAATTTTAATTTTATAAACATGAGCTGTAGCTTGCACTGTCTCGATCTTCTCGTGTTAGAAAAAGATAACTTTTAACCTGCTACAGTCTTTATCCCACCCTGGATTTAAAGAAGACAATATAGGGGGCCAGGATTTCCGTGGGTTTGAATTTTTCCTCCAGTACACACTGCATGCTTACTTATGTGATCTTGGACAAGTTTTTTTTTTCCTCTTTCTGATTCTTCTTCATTTGTAAAATGAACGTAATATAACCTACCTTTTAGGATATCTGTAATATTTAAATTTAAAAAATAAAATTATGTAAAAGTACTTAACCCAGGGCTCAGCACACAGTTTACCCTCAATTAATAAATGCTGTTATTTTAGGTGGAAATGGAGCTATCCATTTACATTAAATGCATAATACAGATTCCTGCTTGGTGATGTATATTTAGGAATTACTATACTTAAATTTGGCAAATACAAAAGATGATGAAAAATGTGATGATTTTCGTAATTCTGCCCAGCTGCTTATCAGGTGTTGAATACATGGCACTAGAAATGGCCCAAGAGCCAGGATCTGCAGCAGGCATGGGAGGGGAGTGTGGAATTGCGTCTCTGTTACCCTTCTGCCCAGTTTGTAAAGGGCAGGTCTTCCAGGGTAGTCAAGAGGCTGCTCTAGGTGACAGCAGATGGAGCAGAGGGAGGGAGGCTGTGGAGTTCATAGCCAGGGAAGGGGAATTCTCTGGGCTTCCTCCACAGAATGAAAGGACAGCTCTAGTAGCAGAGGGACCGTCTATAACCCTTTGCATCCTGTGCAAAGTCTCTTCTTTGACACAAAAGGGAAGGGACTGGCAGTGCCCCCAAATAGCTGTTCATCTCATTACACAACCTCAGCTGCTGTGGCTAAACCTGCTCTTCCTTCCAGAATTCCTACTATGGTAGGAACTCTGTGAAAAGTGCAAGCCACCAACAGTCCCAGCGGAAGCGTGTGAAGTTCTTCCTCCCTTTGATCCCAAAAGGCAATGTGTTAGACGCCCCCACTAGGTAGCCAAGCAGAACCAAGCCTACTGTGGTTTACGAAAAATGGAGAAACAGCCTTCCCACTCTCCCAGCCACAGGCAGCTTAGCAAAGATGCATGCCCTGCCATGCAGACCATAACCCGAGCCAGAGCCCTCCCTAGGGTATAGTAGTCACATCCTGGCTGATGGCCCTGGCTACCAAGTTTGGGGACGCCCTGAGCAGCTGACAATAAGACATTCACTCTGTTAAAAAGAAAAAAGAGAGAGAGAGTTTGTTTGTTTTTCTTTTAAAAAGAGTAAGTAAAATCCTCCTCCAACTTTACAAAGCTAAAATACAAATAGAAAAAAAAGAATGGAATGCTTTCAAAATGCGTTGCTCAGCATCTAAGTTATACTCTATATATGAACACATATTATTGTAATTATTGCAACTCATTATTGTAACACCTCCTCCTCACTGCCACATTTTGACCGCCATTGTGACCATGATTGACGATGGCCAAGGAGTACACAGTGAACATTTGTATCATTGTGGAAAAACGCAGTGAGAGTTCCTGTGTGAACTGCTCTGACTACATGTTCACATGTGACCTGGTTACTGGGTAATACGTTGTTTAAAATACTCAGTTTTTCTCTAGTCATCTTCTCTTTGCCCACACCGTCAACCTCGAAGCCCAGCACTATGACCAAATTAGTAAATGGAAGTGAATTAAATTCTTCCATGTTCCTTTCCTGCACGTACATATTACTTTGCCAGCCTTGTGTGACTTCTTTCCTTGGAGATTGCCCTTGCTCTTCACTTAAACATGACTGTGGAAAAGTCCTGGCTGGTCAAGTGGCATGCTGTGTGTTTGGGTGGATCTGTGTTTCTGTGCACCCAGTCTGACGTGCCTTGTGTCAGTACTCCCCATAAAGGCTCCAATGTGAGGGGCCTGGAGAGTTCGTTGAAGTCTTCCCTGTATGTCCCATGAGAACATAGCCTCTGGGTTCCGATCCCCCGTGAAGATGGAGCTAGTCTTTTCTGTAACAGGGCCTGGAGCACAAGATGCAGCTTAGTGATTCTTTTTGTTTGTTTGTTTCTGAGACAGAGTCTCACTCTGTCGCCCAGGCTGGAGGGCAGTGGCACAATCTCAGCTCAATGCAACCTCTACCTCCCAGGTTCAAGTGATTCTTCATCCTCCTGAGTAGCTGGGACTACAAGTACATGCCACCATGCCTGGCTAATTTTTGTATTTTTAGCAGAAACAGGGTTTCACCATATTGGCCAGGCTGATCTCAAACTCCTAACCTCATGATCCGCCCGCCTCAGCCTCCCAGCTTATTGATTCTTACTGGCCTACAGTCCTCCTTAAGTTGAGAAAAGCAGTGGCTTTGGGAGATGCAGGAGCAGGGCCACAGGCGGAGCATTTATTAGGACACAGGAACAAATGAACAACTCTGCAGCCCTAAAGTCAACATCGGAGCTTTGCTCAGCTTCAAAGCAATGACCCTGATCCTCAGGTTCCGCTGAAGGGTTTGCACAGTGTCCTTATTGGAGGAGCATGGCACAGATTGAGAACACTTGGGCAGGTGAATAGACAGCCTTACCTAAGAGTTGCAGACCCAGCAATGAGATATCGTGGTAGCTCTAAAGAAAGACTGAATTTACGAGCATGTCTAGGAAAATTTGGCCCCAAGAAAGTTGTTTGCAGGCTTTGATTTTAATAGTT